GACTCCAGATCCAGATCATTTACAGTAGTACGAGTTCCGAAAGAGTTTCACATCCGTTTACTAAGGTAGCGACAAAAAGCAATACGTAGATATCATTTGAATTCATTTGTACTCTATTCAACCCACACTTTTAAACTATGTAGTTCCACAGAAATAAAAACGAAATAATAGGCGAGAACTGACCATTCAAAAACATCTCGTTTCTTCCAAAGGTGAATGATGGCATTACAAGTCCGGGGCAGTCGCATAAACAAAGCTGAAAGTGCAGATTCAACATTCACTTAGATTTTCATAGACATTACTCACCTGGCTATCTATGTGTATGGTTTGGAAATGTCTCGTTTTACCCGGTGTAGCAGAAACTGACACCTTTTTCTCTCCAGCCAGTTTATTTATGGTCGAGCTTTTGCCAACATTCGGATATCCCACCATTCCAACGACTACTGGTTTAGCACCAGGCGTGTCAGAAGCATGGCCAATGTCTTTCAAGTACTGTATCATCTGTTCGCGTGTTCTCAGGTACATTTGCCCATTCACCGACGTTGCAGTGGATGGCATCGAGTCACATTCCATGTGATCCTCGTCAGGAGTAGTCTCCTCCAGCGCAGACCTTAACAAGAAGATTTTAAATTCAGTGCTACAACTACAAGAATTGGAAGATAATGACGAGTAGCAAGGACTGTAAAGGGAAAGAAAAAGTAGTACATTGCAATACTCCCAAAATCAATATTCATAAAAGATACGAAAAGCAGATCCTCACCAAAAAACCGCATTTATTTTGTTCTCGGTGAAGTAGTTTGCCCATTGAGCAAGATGGTACTCTTCCAGAAGATCAGCCTTATTGACAAGCAAAAGGATCTGCTTCGCAGCGTCAACTTCTTTCACGTACGCATCAAGATCTTTGCTTCGAAAAAGCAGCGGGTTACGCGCATCCACAATCTATAAGTGCAAATACTAGGAAAAAAACAAAGAGAACAACAAAATATTCATAGGAAAGTAACAATCAGTAGAAAAAAAGCTGCTAACATGAAAAGAAAAGTTGAAGATGTAGCAAAAAAGAAAACAGACGTGACAAATTAACAAAAAAA